GAAGCACAAGCTCATGTTACTGGAAAGCAGGTTTTCTTTAGCTCTCAACTTTGCTGCTCCTCTTTATCTATTGTGTATACCTCTTTATTTCCTTTGTAGTAAAGTAGGTGCTAACTGAGTATTTATTGGGTGAATGAATAAAAAATGTCTAACACATCTATAGAATTTAAACCTCCTCAACATTAAATCCAAAGGAAACATCCACCTTCTTTTTAAAAAAAAAGTTTATTTACTATGGTGATGGCACAACGGTGACTCGGTGATGGGAAACCCACGGGGATTACAAATGAGATGAAAAGAAAAATGTACAAAATGATGTAAAAATAAACTATTATTAAAAAAAAAGATTTATTTACAGCATACAAGACAGAGTGGGGAGCAGAACAGGCAGATCGACTGAAACACACTGCTGAGGGAAGCAGTGGGCAGGCAAAGTCAGGAGAGGTCTGCCACATCATGTGGGTCACCTCTCCTGCTGGGAATCAAACTAATACTGCAGTGGCTGGATCTTTTCAAAGTGCTGTGCTTTAACCTGTTGTGCCACCAGGGAGGAACACATCCATCTTCTTTTCCAGGATTCAAGTCTCATTTATTAGTTCCAACTGGGTCATGTGCCTGAGTTAGAACTTTCTTGAAAATACAGTAAGAAAGGCACAAGCGGTCAAGTTTCAACACTATGAACCTATTCTGCAGCAAGTGTTAAATAACACCCCCCAAACCCTCCCCCCCAACTACAGTAGCTTCAGTGGGAGTTCAATTCTGACCCCAGATCTGACCCATATAGCACAGCAGATCTCTCCTTTCTTGACTGCTGTCTGTTCTGTTCCCCATTCTGTTTCTGGTGGATCCTCTCACCCTCTTGCACCTCTGGCCTATATCCTAGTTCTTGTGTGCATAAATAAATAAATCTTTTTTAAAAAACAAGCAAATATAGTAAGAAAGTAAAATGCAGGAATTATGTGCACAATTTGCTACCACTTGCTTCAAATGTGAAAGAAAACATGTACATATATATACAGGGATAGAATATCTCTAGGACACTCAAAACACTGCTTGCCTCTGGGTAGAGCTGAAAAAATTAACTGAAAAAATGTAAACATATTAATAGTTGACAAAGCACAAATTACACCATCTATACTGAAGTGAGGCAGTGAGGTTCAAAAAGCAAAGGGCTTACAAGTCCCATTCACCAGGGCACAGGAAGGAACGGGTAAGGGCAATCAGTGGCAGTTTTAAGTTAATTTGCTATTACTTGCCTTGTCAGTTTTCTAATCATCAACTGAAAGACCCGCACTGCTTTCTGTTCCTCCTACCTGCAACCTTAGTTCTATTCTTACCAACTTAGTTGCTCAAAAAGATATAGTCTTGGCTGCTTTGTTCTTATTACAGCTGCTTAAAGAACAGGGGTCTTGGAACTGGCTCTTTGCTTTCGCCAGCTGATAGCACTCCTGTCCTACTTTTTCAAAAAAGCAATTAAGGCACAGTGGCCAAATTTTACAAAGAGGGTTGCTTGTCTCAGAGCTGTTTATGGGTAGCTGATGTAAATGAAGCCTTTTGATATTCTATAAAGACATCAAGGCAATGCTTTCCAACAAACACAATTAAGTGTTCTCTACCACTCATTTTTTACCACTAGGTAAATACAATCTAACAGGATTTGATTTCCTTTCATTCTACAATCCAAAGTTCAGGAATAAAAGATAGCTTTGAATAAAAGGGCAAGCACCTACTTAAGAGACTTGATTAGTATTCTGCTTTTCTCTCTGGCATTTCCAATTGGCCTCTCTGATTTTCCAAAAATATGTATTCACTGAATTCATTTTGGACTTAAAAATTTCAGAAAAACTTGCATATTAAAACAACACAGGACCACATCATGGGATCTTGCTGAAAGGACTCCAGCTTGCTTCCAAATACACTGGTGATTAGTTTAAGAAAATACTGCTTACAGACTTGCCATGTAACATAAGAAATAAGCAGAACCCTGATCAAATGTCAAATCCCACATTTACAATTTTGAGACTAGGAGACAACAGAATTTTCCTTTTATGGAGAGTCTTATATTTAAGTTCTTCAGCTGACATTTATGACTTAAAATACTGCAAGACAAGCAATGAGCAATAAAGGAAAAAAGCTGCAAAAATTATTCCACTCACAATAGCATCAAAACCACGTTCCAAGTAAAAACTAGCAAATGAGGCAAAATACTTATACAATAAAAACTACCAAAAAACTGCTCAAAGGAAAAGCTATAAATGGAAGATGTCAACACTATCCAAAGCAATTACAAATGCACTGCAGTCTTCTCAGGATCCCAAGAATAGGATAGAAAAAGCTATCCAGAAATTCATATAGATTCTCAAGGGACCCTGAATAATCAAAATAATACTGCAAAGGAAGACAAAAGCTACAGGGCTCACCCTTACTTAAAACTTACTACAAAACTATAGCAATCAAACCAGTATGGTACTGTGTGACAGATATAGATCAAGAAAATAGAGTTCAGAAATAAACCCTTACACATGTGGCTAAGTGATTTTTTGACAAGGGCTCAAGATAATTCAATGATTAAAATGTTAGTCTTTCAACAAATGGTGCTGGAAAATCTGATGCCCATATACAAAGAATGAATATGGGCCCTTACCTAGTACTACATAAAAAAATCAACTTAACCCATGATCTCAATGTAAGACCTAAAGAGGAAAATATAAGGCAAAAACTTCAAACAATTAAATCTGATAATGATTTATTGGCTACAACATAAAAAGCAAGAAAAGAAAAAAACAGGCAAATCAGACTTAATAAAAATTTTAAATTTTGTGCTCAGAAGACACTATGAGAGTAAAAGGCAATCTACAGGGTGGGAATAAAAATTTATATACCATATATCTTTAAAAGGATCAATATCCCAATATATAGAGAACTCCTAAAAATCAAAAAATCAAAAAGATAAAATTTTAAAATGGGCATAGGACTTGAATAGGTCTCTCCAAAGATATACAAATAGACAATGAGCACATGAAAAGATGCAAAATTTCTAATCATTAAGGAAATGCAAATCAAAACTACAATGAGGGCCTCCCTGATGGTACAACTCACAGCACTAAAGCTGGCCACAGCTTCTCAGCCAGGCCTAGGAGACCCACATGGTATCACCTCCTCACCTGCCCACTGCTCCCTCAGCAGTGTACTTCCTCAGATTGCCTGTCTGCTCCTATCTCTGGTGAATCCTCCCACTGCCCCTATACCTCTGGCCTGTAGTCTGGTTCTGTATGCATAAATAAATAAATCTTAAAGAAAAAAAGAGAGAACTCCCTTATATCCAGATATGGAGAAATTGGTAGGATATAAAGTGGTAGAGTAATTTTAGAAAACAGTATGGTAGTACCTCAGAAAAATAAAAACAGAACTACCTCATGATCCAGTAATTGCATTTCTAGTATATATTGGGCATAGGAAACAGTTAGGGTTCTTTGCAAACCCATAATCACTGCAGCATTATTTACAACAGCTCAAGCATGAGAGCAACCCAAGTGTCATTGACAGATGAATGGATAAACAAAATGTATACTCACAATGGGATGTTATTCAGTCTTAAGAAGGAAAGAAATCCTGACACTACGCTACAATGTTGATGAACCTTCAGGCCATTATGCTAAGTGAAATAAAGAGGTCACAAAGAGATAAATACTATGTGATCCCACTGACATGAGAGTCAAAGACAGAGAGAAAGACAGGACAACAGTGGTTGTCCGCAGCTGTGGGGAGGCAGCAAATAGGGAATCATTATTTAACGGGTGTAATATTTCAATTCTGCAAAATGAGAAGAATTCTCCTGAACAATCTCCAGATGGGTGTTAGTGATAGTTGCACAACAATGTGAATGTACTCAATGCCACTGAACTGTAAACTTGAAAATGGTTAGGATGGTAAATTTCACATCTCATGTATCCTACCACAATAAAAAAGCTGGGAAAAAATGCTGCCAGGTATGAGGTTCAGTTACAGTCTCGTCATACTTTTTTCTTTTATTAAAACTGCTTTTTTTTTTAAGATTTATTTATTTATGCATACAAGAATTGGGCAAGAGGTGAGAGGATTCACCAGAATGGAGAGCAGAACAGGTAGACTGACTGAAATACACTGCTGAGAGAAGAAACAGGCGAGACACGAGAGGTCTGCTGTGTTATGTGGGTCACTTTCCTGGCCAGCATTGAACTTGTGCAGTGGCTACAGACAGCTTCATAGTGCTGTGCTTTAATCCGTTGTGCCATCAGGGAGGGCCTTTCAACACATTTTCTTTTTTAAAAGAGTTATTTATTTATGCATACAGAACTGGGGTATAGGCCAGAGGTGTAGGGTGGTGAGAGGATTCACCAGACAGTGGGGAAGCAGACAGGCAGACTGACCAGGTACACTGCTGAGGGGAGCAGTGGGCAGATCAGGAGAAGTTTGTTGTACCATGTGGGTCACCTCCCTGGCTAGGGATTGAACTCATCCTGAAGTGGCCTTGGCTATTGTAGTGCTGTGCTTTAACCCATTCACCACCAGGGAGGGCCCTCAACACATTTTCTAAGGTACACATCTTTCTTTGTATATCTGGATTTTTCTTTCAAAAACATGTTACTAAACATGTCAGCTGGAAGCACCAATGTACCACTGAAAGAAGATAGCAAATTGAAACAATAGTGTTGCTTCTTCAAAATTAAGTTATTTGAACCTGGCCTTACAGTCAACACATCCACTCTTATCTACTCTCTCTCTCTTCCAGTCAACTCTGGGTTTTTTTTTGTAGAAAATAAATTAGAATGAAAACACTAAGAACACTGCAACTTATTAAATGAACTAACTCCTTTAAAGTTCCTCAAACACATTAAGTGTTCACTAGATACTGCTTATTATTCCCTGGATGCTAATTATTAAAGCACAGGCATTTTTCCAAACTTAAAAAATAGGTTGCAATCTCATTATAAAAAAGTATGATCCAAGAGAAAATAGAATAAGGTGGAACAAGCCTTTATTTTTAGACATTTTCACAAAGAGGTTGTCAGTAAATAAACTTTCCAGAGGAGAAAAGAGAACATGAAAATCCACCTCCAGCCACTGCAGCTGCTCTGCTAGGGCCGAGGCTCTTCCTGGCCCGAGTGGTGGGGTGGAGGTGTGTACTTCCCTTCCTTGATTAGCTTATCCCTCTGCCTCCTAATGGTATTCAGGCGATGAATCTGTCAAAGAAAAAGAGTATTAAAATTGGGGAAAAACATGCACCAGAAAGTGAGGGCTAGAGAAAGAGATGAAAACTGATTTATTTTTAAACGACAGAAGCTCCTAATCCTAAAGAGTTCTAAAGTGTCTCTCACTGAAGGTGGTAGCATGGCCGAGCGGTCTAAGGCGCTGGATTAAAAACTAACTAGGAACAGCAACTTGAGCTCTAACAAATAATGTCCTGGCATCTATAATCATACCTCCTTGAAAACTAGGATGTTCTTTTTCTATACAGGAATCTAGGTATTTACAAAAATTGTAACAATCAAAAACTGCTAAGGGGCATATGTGTGTAACGTAAAATCTTGAAAAGTGTAGAGACTGTTTGCTGTTTTGTTTACTTCAGTTTTTCTAGTGCCTACAATAATTCCTGCTGCAGTAAGTGATCCTAAACCTATTTTTTGGAAAAGTGAGTTTTCATGAGTCAGTTAAACTTCCTGTTAACCTTAAAGAACTTGTCAGGATATAACTTCAGTAGAAGAAACTGCAGGTATCCTAAATTCTGACATAAATAGTATTCATTTTTAAGAGACTGCATTCTGTTAAAAGATTTATTTATGCACACAAGAACTGGGGTACAGACCAGAGGTGTGGGGGGGGGAGGTTGGAGGGGTGAGAAGCTACACCAGAGACAGAGTGGGGAGCAGAACAGGCAGACTGACTGAAATACACTGCTGAGGGGAGCAGCAGGCAGGACAGGAGAGGTCTGCTGCACCATGAGTCACCTCCCTGCCTAGGGACTGAACTTGTGTTGCAGTGGCTGAGGCTCAGGGAGGGCCCTGAGAGTTAACATTTCTCTATCAAGAAGTCAAGGGGTGGGCCCTCCCTGGTGGTGCAGCAGGTTAAAGCACAACACAAAGAAGCTTGGGTTAAAGCACAACACAAAGAAGCTTAAGCCACTTCCGCATGAGTTCGATTCCCGCCTGCCCCGAGGAGATCCACATGGCGAGTCAGACCTCTCCTGACCTGCCCACTGCTCCCCTCAGCAGTGTACTTCGTCGATCTGCCTGTTCTGTACCCCGCTCTGTCTCTGGTGAATCCTCTCACCCTCCGCATCTCTGGCCTGTACCCCAGTTCCGTATGAATAAATAAATCAATCTTAAAAAAAAAAAAGTCAAGAGGTGCCTCCCAGCTGGCACAAGGGGTTAAATGTCATCACTATGAAGCTATGGGCAGCTACTGCAGGACAAGTTCAATCCCTGGCCAGAGAGCTGATCCACATGGCATGGCAAATGTCTCCTGCCTTGCCCACTGCTTTCCTCAGCAAGGTATTTCAGTGGCTCTGCCTGTTCTGCTCCCCGTTCTGCCTCTGGTGAATCCTGTCACCCACCACAACTCTGCCTGTACCCCAGTTCTGTAAGCATTAAAAAAAAAAGATAAAAAATAAAAAAGCTTTAATATAGATAACTGATAGCTTAAGTAAACTTTCTCCCTGAATGGCAAAGAATTGTAAATAATAAAAATATTGTTATATCCCATTGAAACTGGCAAAACAACGGCTCACATCCAGTGATTTCTTCTCTAAGAAAGAAAAGAGCCTCTCTGTTATGTAATTTTTTTCAGCTGGAGGAAGTATATGTCATGCTGTTACGATTAGGCTCAACTAAGCCACCTCATTAATACTTCCATCTACCCCAGACTAGAAATAAATCCAGAGTGTTCAATGTAACAGATATGCTGGCTTTTACCTCTTTTCTTTTTTTTAAAGATTTACTTATGCATACAGAACTGGGGTACAGGCCAGAGGTGCAGGGGCAGTGAGAGGCTTCACCTGAGACAGAGTGGGGAGCAGAACAGGCAGATCAACAATGTATACTGCTGAGGGGATCAGGGGGTGAGAGGATAGTCTGCCGGCCATGTGGGTCACCTCCGGGCCGGGGACTGAACTTGCACTGAAGCGGCTGTGGGCAGCTTGCGGTGCTACATCCTAATCTGCTGTGCAACCAGGGAGGGCCCAGGGTTTTACTTCTTTTCTAATGAGGATTCAACAAATCTGTAAAACTTTCACCCAATGATATTCAAGGACAAATATCCAAGACTGGTTGATATTATGTCACATCCTACTGTAAAGACAGAACTACACAAACATGTAATTTCAAAGTAGATGGCTACAGCAGAGTACAATGCTAAGGAAAATGTGTGAGAAGATGAGGGAGGATTCTGAGCAACAGCAGTTCATCTCAGACCTGAAGATGTTTAGCTTCCTTGACAAGGAACCGAAGTATAGAAGTTGTTTCACCCCACCAATGTTTTGCCAATTCATACTGGGCAACCATTGCCCAACAGCCATTAAAAACACCTAAAAACAGTCCCAAAGAAACCACCTCCCGTCTCCGCTATTTCCTCACCGTTTTCTGCCGAAGCAGACATTCTACGAAGTCATCCATTTCTATCTTGCACTCTTTCTCTGCTCGAATACTACCAATCCCATGTGCACATTCTATCCATTCTTTTTCAAAAGCATGGCACCGAGATGGAATCTTGTGAGGCTGCTCTGCACTCTGCACTGTCATCCAGCGGTCCAGGTCAAGGCCCAGCCGTTTCTGCACATCAAAGAACGGCATGACTGCTAGGGAAGAGAAGAAAAGAAATCCTGCCAATAAATGTACAGGTGAGGAACTCCTAAGAAAAATGTGATAGTTTTGGGCCCTCCCTGGTGGCGTAGCGGTTTAAAGCACAGCACAAAGAAGCTAAAGCCACTTCAGCATGAGTTCGATCCCCACCCTGGAGGAGTTCCACATGGCAGGCAGACCCCTCTTGACCTGCCCACTGCTGCCCTCAGCAGAGTACTTCATCAGCAAAAGTCAGTGTTTGTGTTGAATCAATAATCCCAAAACTTTCAGAGATCTGAAGAACTGAAAAGAACACTTAAAAGAAACATAAAAACATTCCTTATGTTTCATATGCTCAACATCACCATATCAACGTAGGTGATAGTGCTCCTGAGAAGTAATCTTGCAACCATGTCCCTCCTCCTTGTTAGTATCCTCAACTTCCCACTGGAGTACTTTGAATACCACTGTACTGGATTATTGATTCTCTCCTCTATGGAACAATGGCTGTCATAAGGGCAGGGACAAGGTAGGGGCTTGGCAGTGGTTGGGAAAATTAGTTTCAAACAAATGTGCAACAACACTGAAATGGATAATTTAATCCAGTTGCCACTTAGTAGAATATGACAAGACACTGAGAAAAAAATAATACACACGAAACCTGTTCTAATGTTAAATGAACAAAAGGGACTACAATTATGCCAAGCAAAAATAGTCTGTAAAAGAAAACTGGAAGGGAAAATGAACCAAAATTATGTATGAATGGTAAATTTACAGATGGATTTAATTTTTTAAAATTTTTCTACCCATTCTTTTAGTCATTTACTAAGTAGTAACATTACTTAGTACTGTCCACTTACTGGGATGGGGGTTGAGAGAGGGGAGGGAGAACAGCAGCTGCAATGCAATCAGTAGACTGTAGGCACAGAGGGCAGGGGGAGCCCAGTGGACAGATAGAGCAGTGGACAGCAGGGTTCAGAGCTCAAAGGAGAAAGCACCGACTCTGCGCAGACTTGACGTCTTTCTGGTGGGTTGCGTTTGCCAACAGGTCTGACTGTAGACCATTCAGGTAAGGGACAGCGCGAGTGGCAGCGGGAGAAGCTGGGTATGAGTGGGGACACGGAGGCCCAGAAGTGGCTGGAGTGCACGGTGCCTGTCCGGAAGCGCCATCGGAGGTTGGCTGGGGCCTAAGTCACTCAGAGCCTTGGAGTAGGGACGGAAAGCGTGGCCTTCAAATTAAGAAGCCGAAGGCCAAAGGATGAGCCCGCAGGTTGCTAAATTAACCCGGAGAGAGACCGACCGAGGTGTGGTCCATGGGTTCAGTGACATTGGCGGTGTGGGTGAAGGAGCCTGGGAAGCAGACTGGGCGCCCCGAGTTCGGGCCTCTCAGAAATGGACACTTAGCAAAGCAGGAGGCCGTGCGAGGAGAATCGCGGAAGGAAGCTCCTAAAGTTAGGTTTTCCGGCGGATAAACGCAGGCCCTACCGTTCTCCCCCGGTTGCCCTTGTCTCCTCTCTGGCCGCAACGACAGCAGATCTCCGCAACGCGAAGGTCTGCCGCAAAGGGCGCCCGCAGCACGACACTTTCAGCGCGACACCGGCAGCCGACTTTCCATCCGCCGTCGCGCCCGGGAAACCATAGAAACCAACTCGGTCGACCTGCGCCTGCGCAGGCCGTCTCCGCTGGCCTCTGGGTGAATTACATTGACTGGCGGGATAGGGAGTTCCTGCCCCTCGGTGGTTCCGCGCCTAGCACTCACCCGACAGCTCGGATTGGTTGAGGACTTGACCAAGGTCAAACCAGAGAAAATCAGGGCACCCTAGTCGTGATTAAGCACACGGATTGTGGACCCACGCCGGGTGGTGTCAAAATGGTCCTGGAAGTTTTCCCTCCTTTCCTCATTTTAAAATTAGAAAGACAATAGTACCCAAGATTAGAAGATTAACTGAGTTATGTGTAAAGCACAGCACGGAGGGGGTGACTGGCATGGAGGAATCACTCTGAAGCATCCAGGTTTTGATATTTCTTCCTAGTTTGTGGGTTCTGGAAAGTGGAGACCATGACCCTCCTGTTTCAAAGCCTCCCATCGCTCCTTTTGACTACAGCGGGGCCTTGAAATGGTGTGTATGGGAACCCTAGTGTGTGTGTTATATGTTGGGGGGTGTGGAAAGAAAACACTAGATATTTCTACTTTTATTTACTTTTTAAAAATGTCTACTTTTTGTATAAGTGTTTATAAGGGGAATACCATTACTGTAATTGTACCTATGACACATTTGGACTGAAAATGTACTTTCCTTTTAAGTGGTGTGTACTCAAAAAGTCCAGAGAAATAGTCTTCCAACGTAGCCCAGACTCATTGTCCAACCACCCCTGCCTAATGCCCCAAACAAGAACTTGCAGTTCCAGTGTAAGTTGTCTTTCAGTCTCTTTCCCCTTCAATGACACCATTTCCATCCTATGTCCATTTTTCAAAACGTAAAATCCTACTCTACTTCAGGACTTTTCGCATAGGTTTTCCTCCCAAACAGGTTAACTACCCCTTCTGGAGAGAATTCCTAAGATTTCACAACTTCCTGAGTTGTCCCCCTTTTTTCTTCACCTCATTGGATATATATCCCAAATGAGATCAGTTTCAATTCAACTAGAAACTCCTGTAGAATATACCAAATGTACGTGCCAGCAGAATACTGGAGGATTATGGGATTCACTACCTCACAACTATTGCCCTCAAAATATCAGAGGTAACGAGGCATTGACCACTACCACGAGTTTCCCTTCTTTCACTTTCTTGTGTACACTTGTGACTGAAACAGAGATAGATCATCTTGGTCATTCAAGCAGGAAATTCAAGAAAATGTAAGTAGCTTGCATTTTCCTTATTTTTCATCCAATTATTTTATTACTGTCCGACTTTTTTCAAATGTTCCTTCCAGGTTTCCAATTCATGTCTTCCTTCTGCCTCATTTCAACCTGATTTGCACTAATTAATCTTCCTAAAATCTTGATTTCATTCTATCACCCTTTAGATAGCAGGAAGATTAGTACAAAGATGGGTGACTCAGATGCCTCCAAGGCCACAAAAAGTTCACTATAAGGAAATGAAGACAAAAACACCGCGATAAATGGCAGCTTATACATATTGGCCTCAGTTTGCTGCTAGTTTCATAGTGCGGAGCTTTAACCTGTTGTGCCACCAGGGAGGGCTCATTGGCCTCAGTTTGAAGGAGCGGTGGAAGGAATGTGATAAACCACATTGTCCTAATTGGCAGCAGTTACTCAGTTCCTTTCCTTTGCTGTTGCAGCAGGGCCTCAACTTGTCAAGAGAAACCAATAATCATGTTATTTAAATGTGAAATCTCCCAATTTAAAAATATGAGGGCAACTAATTTCTTAAAAAGTGCTAGCCACACAAAACCCAGATTAGAAATGACCCAGATTAGAAAGGACCAAAGCAGAACATAGAGGGTCATTCAGATGACTCAAAAAGGTCCAAATTCTTGGGTGATGGCATTCAATCCTCTTCATGATCTGCTTTCCTCCCACTTCTAAATTCTCAGATCCCATTACTTCCCCCTCCAGTTTACAGTTGTCCAACAGTGCTCATGCTTCCAAACTTTGTAGAAGAGGTTTCTTCTGCCTGGAATGACCCCACCTGCTCTCCACCACCCTGTTTCCTTAGTGACTAATCATTGCGTCATTTTCTGGGCCAAGTTTTTTTAATCCCTCAGGCACTTACTGTATCTTTCTTGGGGCAATGCCACCCTGTAAACTTCACTAGAGATAACTGTAACTGCAAGCTGGTCACCTCCTCTGGACCAAACTATGATACCGTGTAAACACAGATGTGTAAGGATGGCAGAAACAGGTCTTGCTTGACCACAGAAGTTGGAATACTAGTTCCCAGAAGCCCCACATGAGAATTGGGCCTGCCCAGTAGCCACAATCATAGCACCCTCTAGGAGTCTTGTGTTTTACGAACATAGTGGTATGACTTCCAATATGGGGGCACAATGCTCTTACCGACTTCATTTACCTTTTTCTTGCCTTGCCTTCAGATCCTTTGCTTTTGTAAGTGTGATTTTTTTTTTTTAAGTTTATTTGCTTACTTATTTACCTAAGAATTGAGATGTAAGTCCTAGGTGGGGGTAGAGTCACCAAAGAGCAGAACAGATGTATCTACTGAAATACACTGCTGAGGGGGGCAACGGGCCAGAATTCTGCTGCGCCATGAAACTCAGGGCACTGTGTAATAGTGCTGAGAGTTAAACCCAATGCCACCAGGGAGGCCCTGAAGTGTGATTTTTAAACAAAATAAAATCTCACCTTGCAGAGAGGCAAGCCTTTGCCGTGGTCTTCTTCCATTTCAGGTTTGGGAAATAGGCTTTGAGATCCAGTGGTGATCTTTCTTAAACCTGTCTTACTTAGCCTTCGAAGCATAAAAGATGGTTTGATAACCTAATGTGAGAGGGCTTCTGAAAATTAGCTTCAGTTTTGTATGCCAGGCTGACTATCCTCTAGGCCTCCATTCCTGAGACTTCCAAGCTTGACCTCTGAGATGTCCTAGTATTTCCACACCTTTTGTTGTCATAACTCTAGAAGAGCTCTAGCACCCTTTCTAATGATAACATTGTAGCACTGTATCTGATACCACTGCCATACAGCTTGAACAAAGTAGGTAGCCCCCTGACCCCAGCACAGCTGTAGAAGACAATGTGTCTGCAAACTTGTCCCCAACCTCACCCTCAAGTCCTGAATTGTAGGATAGACACAAGGCCAATAAGCATATTAACTTGAAAAAGTAAAGGACCCCAAGACCTGGGATTTGTAATCAGAGTGGCCATTTGAAGAATGTTTTAAGGGGTCTCCTAGGTGATGCAAGGGTTGAAGACAACACTATCAAGCTATCACCAGCCCATCCCCCACATATGGGTAATGTGACCCATATGGCACAGCAGACCTCTCCTGTCTTACCTGCTGATCACCTGAGCTTTGTATTTCAATAGATCTGCCTGTTCTGCTCCCTGCTGTCTCTAGTGAATCCTCTCACCTCCTCTGCACCTCTGCCCTACACCTCAGCTCTTATATGCATAAAATCTTGGAAAAAAAAAAAAAAGTCTCACTGGGGTCTCCCTGGTGGCACAAGGGGTTAAATCTCAGTACTATGAAGCTATCCGCAGCCACTATAGCATGAGTCAGGGAGCTGACCCACATGGCACAGCAGACCTCTCTCCCCTCAGCAGTCTATTTCAGTAGATCTGCCTGTTCTGCTCCCCACTGTCTCTGGTGAATCCTCTCATCACCACCTCCACCCTCACACCTCTGGTCTACCCAAGTTCTTATATGCATGAACAATCAAATCCTAGAAATGGGAAGGAAGGCTGTGCTGGGCTCCCGGTAGGCTAACTTGATGCTGGTAAATCATTCCATCTCTAGAACAAACTCCCCTCATGCAGGTATGTGGGGCTGCCTCTTGACTTTAATTAGGCTTCCCAACAGACATGATTACCTTAAGGAGAAACAGCTCAGGTTGAAGGCGCAGTCTACTGCATCTGACATACTTCTCATAAATTAAACATACCAGAGTCTGGTTTTGGCAGGTACTGATATTAGAGTCTGTCTAAAACAGCTTTATTGGTGAGTCAGCCTTTGTGGGTACAGATCAGGAGCAATTAAGCCAAACCAGCTGAAGGAAACTGCCCAGCAGTTGAGTTGCCTTCCACAGGAAACACCCTGCTCTGTTCAGAGGCACAAGACACTTACCAGAGCAAGTTTTATCATGTCTGTGAATTCTATAGGTAAGGACTGCATCTCTTTTGGCTGCAGAGATGACCTGCAGGAGTTTCAGGTCATCTGATAAGGAAAGGGGAGCAGCAGCCACATAACTTATTAGTCAATCATCACTGAAGAGACCAGAACAGCGATAAAAACGCAGTGTTAAGTCAGGTGTAAATGCAAGGACATAAAATGAAATAGTGTAACAGATAGACATCCTCAGAAAGATTCTTAAAACCCAAACTAGACATGAATTTCATTACTCTTATTTTCACTTTTAAACCTTGTACTAACTTGTTTAAACTATTCTGTGTTGCCTCATAAGTATGTAAGCACCTCAGAGAGCAGAGACATTGTCTGTCCAGTTTAGTGATTTACTCCTAATGCCCACAACAGTACTTGCCAAATAACAGGTGCTCAATGAACATGTGTCAGGTGAATAAGTAACTCTGCCTTGAAGAAGGGAGCTGAAAGAAAATTGTCACTCCAGTAGTCATTTTGTAAGTGAGAAGGGATTTAATTCCAGGCAGAGAACTAAGCACCACAAAAAATATAAGCTGAGCTGCTGCTGAGGACAGTTTGAGAAGTAAAGATTTCAATAATCTATTCAAGAGCTAAAACTGGTTTTTAATAGGTAGTTTTAAGAGAATGTCAAAAAAGCAAAATACATCAAAAACCCACCACAGCAATTCTCTGTATTAAAGGACAAAAACAAGTCAAACAAGCCAAAAAAAAAAAAGGATCTTTGAAGATGCATAGAAGAACTGGCGTACAGGCCAGTGAGAGGATTCACCAGAGACAGAGGGGGGCATG